GCCAGTGTTCTCACGTCTTCCACAGGGTCTTAATGAAGATCATAAAAGTGGAAGTACCTTACTCAAAACAGAGCTGCCCCCAATCTCACACCCCACCCTCACAACGTTATGAACTGCTTCTCCAGCCTGCTATAGATTAAAAGTAACAAATGGGGAATTAACTGGAGCAAAAATAATGACAGTCACAGTATGTGACAATGAACGGCTCAACTGTGAGAGGATAGCAAAGCCACAAAAGGGCCGCACGGGCAGACCATCGGTGGCAGCCGCGCTCAGGGCTGCGACAGCGCCAGGAGGTGTCACTCGTCTACCTCACGGCACACTGCTCACGTTTGAATCCCGACCCTGGGATGTGGGGAAAAGGTTAAGTCCTACCTAATAAACCTCCCTAAATGTAGGGAAATGTGCCAACATGTAAGAGAGATATCCACCAAACGTAGTTAAACTAAAAATGATTTGATGCTTAAAGGCTGACAATTATCTGGAAAGCGTTGTTCTCTAATGATACTGAGCACCGTGGCATTTCTGTGGGCATCTCTGTCTTCTCATAAAAAATGACCTTCGAATGTGGTTTTCTAGAAGATAATGAAGGATCCCGCTATGGGACTTGATTCCTATGTTCTCCCTGGAAAACGGTGTGAAGTGATGGCTGGACTGTTGATTGCAGTCAGAAAAAAGCGTCCCTGTCTTCCTCCCGCCCCATGGGAGTAGCTGTCGGCTGGAAGAGGAATTCTCAGCCAGCGCCAGAGCTAAGTGCTTACAACACAATTAGACAGAGTCATAGCTGACATTTAAACATTTTTCATTTTTCATTTTTAACCACCTTGTAAGCATTAACTAATTAAGCCTCATCAGGCACTGATGCAAAAGAATTACCTTCCATATTCTGCAGATGAAAATAGTTCATGCGATACTTCTGGAAGTTCACCCGAAGACGGAAAGGCGGAAACGTGTCTCCTGCCCTGCCCGCTGCAGTATCTCCAGCAGTGGACTGGGACATGGACCTGGTGTCACTGAAGGGGGCCGGTGTATCCACCCACACAGAGACATCGCAGGGACACTGGCCCTTGCCATCTGTGCGGCATCATCAGAGTGCACGTTTGGTACCCGTGCTGTGCGCTACACACATGGATGGGAATCGCCCCCATTCCACCCTCCCCTCTCCCACTCTAGGCCAAGCCCCGCTGTTTCTCACCTGGACTAAGGCAGTAGCCTCGTGACAGACCTGTGCTCTCCCTGCCCCCTCAATTTCTCCCCATAGCAGCCAGAGTGCTCTTGTAAAAACTGAAATCAGACCAATGCCTCTCCTCTGCTTAAATCCCTCGATGATTTTATGTTACCCTTACAATAAAGCCCAGTCTTCTTACCTTAACTTCTGTTATGAGCTGAATTGTTTGTGTTCTTCCAAAATGCATACATTGAAACCAACCTCCTAATGTAAAGGTATTAGGAGATGGGGTCTTTGGGGGGTGATTAGGTCGTGGGAGTGGAGCTCTCATGAACAAGGTCAGTGCCTCCAGCCACTGTGAGAAACACATTTTTGTTGTTTAAAAGCCACCAGTCGATAGTGCTCTGTTACAGCAGTCCCCGTGAACTACAGCAGCCTCAAAGCCCTGCAGTGTCTGGTCCCCGTCAGCCTCTTGAAAGCCGACCCCCACTCATCCCCCCAGCCATGCTGGCCGCCTCCTCTCCTTTGAATGGCCCAGGCCCCTTCTCAGCTCCAGACTTTTGCACTTCCTACTGCTCTGATCTTCCCACGGTAGCTTCTTCATATGTCAGCTCAGACGTCACCTCCGCAGAGAGGCCTCTCCTAACGATCTAATCGACATCAACTGGGTAGCTAATACAAGTGCCATTGTGATTAATAAGATATACACTCATTTGAAAATATTGCCCAAGTCTTAATAGGTTTTGTCATTCAGATTTTTTCCCCAATTAACAGTGGTCCATGGAAGGAAAATAACCATTAAATGGGGGAATTATATTTTTTAAAAAAGCTACTTGATACAAAAATGATGCCACTAGACTATGCTGGGATAGTTATTCAATATAGATTTCAGGAACGTTTCTCAAACCTACATAGTGATTTTAATGCTGTAATGATGGAAATACCTGGTACAGAGTCAGGCATTGATTAACTGTAGTTCCTTACTCCTCAAATATGGGAGGACCTGTTGTTCTAAGCTTCTCAAAGTCACATGAGACTGTTCATCAAGAAAGCTTCATAGCAGCACAAACCAAAAAGCAGAGAAAATCACTATCATTCTCACCACAAGCAATTAAGCTTTCAGTCAACTTGTGAGATAGGACGTATCATTCTTTAAAATTTCCATGGAGGGGGCAAATAAGTTTATTTGTTACGTCAATAAAATGTGGGACTAAAGCCTTATAAGCTGCAAAAAGATTCGATGATGTCTGACAAAATGTGAAAAAGACATAGAATGTTAAAATGATTTTAAAAACTCAAAACTTAATTAAAAAGACATCTGCACTCGAATGTTTATAGCAGCACAATTCACAATTGCAAAGATCTGGAAACAACTGAAGTGCCCATCAAAACAGGAGTGGATTAATAAAATGTGGTATATGTATACCATGGAGTACTACAGCACCTCTTGTATTTCCCTGGATAGAGTTGGAACCCATTCTACTAAGTGAAGTATCCCAAGAATGGAAAAACAAGCACCACATGTACTCACCATCAAATCGGTTTCACTGATCAACGCCTAAGTACACACATAGGAATAACATTTATCGGGCGTCGGGCAGGTGGGAGGGGGAGGGGGGATGGGTATACACATACATAGTGAGTGCGACACGCACCGTCTGAGGACACGCTTGAAGCTCAGACTAGGGCAGTGGGAGCAAGCAAGGGCAATATATGTAACCCCAACATTTGTACCCCCCAAATATGCTGAAATTTTAAAAGGGGGAAAAAACCTCAAAACTTAGAAGAAATGTACACTGTGCAAAGGGACAATGATGTGCATAACCACACGGTCTCTCTAAGGGAGTGGCTGCCTGTGACCCAGCGGTGTTACAACCTGTGGAGCTTCTCAGTGTGTCTGGGAGCCGCATGGGGAGGGCGGAACTGCTCTGCACACCTGCTGGAGGAACTGGGGGAAGAACTCAAAGGGCAATCCAGGAAGTGTAGGGGTTGCGGATGAGGGGTGGGGCTGGGGAAGGTTCAGGGAAAGGGCCAGTGAGAAATGTCCTTGAGAGGAGAGGGCGGACACAGGACGTTTAAGGACAGGAATAGGTACAGTGGGATGCTTTTTTGTAGGAAATATGCTGAATGTGTGACCTTTCCTAATGATCCTGGGCTTTATATAATTGTGTGTGGGTGCGGGTGTGTGTAAGCTGGGGAAAGAGCTCAGTTTTACATCTGTTTAGCAAAACAAGAGAAAAAGTGGCCATGAAAAAAATTTAAGCCTTTTGAGAATTCACAGTTATCTTGGCCTTAGACTTCCACAGGGAGTTCAACCTAATCTGATGCAGTTCTTACTGAGGCTGCAAAGCCATGGTGACATCTGGGTTATGTCTCCTTAGAAGCTTCCAGGGGATTGTGGGCGGGAAGAAGTAGGAAAAGATTCTTTTAGTGCATTCTAATAATGAAGGTTGTTGGTGTTTAGCTGAAGGTGATATTTAGCTGGCAACCCATAGCTTTTATCTTATTGTTATTAATGTTGTTATTTGAAGGACAGACTGTTTTCAGTGGTGCACACTAATACCAGAACACTTTTCATTATAATTTCACAAAATTCCTACCTGTGCACATGTTTAGGGATAATATAAAAATAAATTTTTTCACTGAAGAAAATTCCCTAAAATGTGATAGGATAATTGTTTCACAAACATTTCAGAAATAACAGTAAGTGGTGAGTGGAGAGATGTTAGTATTTCAAGCAGTTATTGGAATTTTCAGTATGATGCCAAGCTTAGAGGGATATAAGTGGCGGCTATAACAGGTATGAAGTCATCATATTTTAAATTTGCTGCTGTTATTCCACATAGCACATTTTTATTCAAGTGGAGGGGAAAAAAAACCAGATTTGAAGTAATCTGATTAAAAATTGTCCCCTGGAGAAACACCTGAAAATATTGAAATCCAGGTGTGTATGAAATGGGAAAGGGACTTCATTCTGGGTTTTAGTCTTAATTTTGATTTTGCGAGCTACTGTGGCTCTTTATTAAGCCAGCTTGTTAGCTTGAGGCTTGTAATATCTCCAGTTCTCAACAAGTTCATTTCATATACATTTCATATATTTTAATGTGCCCTTTGAACACATTATTATGAAATGTTTTATGAGAATGTCAGTCTTCTGATAAAAAGAAAAGAAGGTTTAAGTTTTGTGCTCTGGGAAGATATGACTCAGGGACTTGGAAAGAAATCTACTGAGGAAACAAATAGAGATAGTTATGAAAGAACAAGCTGCAATTATGTCTTCTTTCCTGTAGGAAGAAGTAATTCTATTTCCTATAGGATACAGTGGCGATAGTAATCTGTGAAACTTCATGGAAATATGCAGTTAGCAAGTTAGCATTGAAAGGGGCCACTGCTCACATGGGAAATGAAGCCTACGTGTTGGCTGAAGTTTGCAATGAGTCATCATCCTCTATTAACATTGAAAATTAGGGTATGTTGCTGCTTAATTGAATTTGACAGTGTAACCTTCTGGGAGTATGCAGGTAGCACATATGTGTTGGGGGTGGGGGAAGAGTTTTCACTGGATAATTGATCTCTGTCTCTCTGTCTCTCCCTCTGTCTCTCTCTTTCTCTCTCTCTCTCACACACACACATGCACATTCACACACTTGCATTTACTCAGCTTAGGAAAGAAAGCTAAAGCCAAAGATTTCCTAAAAGTTCTATTCATGTTGAAACTCTTTCTGTCTCATACCCATGGATCCTTAGGTTTTGAAAATGATAGCAAAGGAATGTGAAAGTCCTTCTAAATGAGTTGCCACTCCCGAATGGAGATCAGTGATTTTTTTTTCAGGGATGGATTTGCATTTGGCTGCATAGCACGTTCCAACCACCAGTGAGTCACACAAACAGCTTGCACGTGGTTTGTAAAGGACAGCACTGATGGTCCCCAGGCTTGGAATGGACACTTCTGCAGACTTCATCACACTCACCATCATTGCTCAAGATCCCTTCCTTGCAAAGATATCAGAGTAGCTTTAAAAAGGACCACCGCTTATGTGGAAAATGAGGACCATGTGTTTGTTGGAGTTTGAAATGAGTCATCATTATCTATCAACATTGAAAATTATGGTACGTTGCTGCTTTATTGAGCTTGACAGTGCAATAAAAATGAAAAAGGAAGCAAGTTATTTGCATCACTGGAGTATGGTTAATGTAGTCAACACATGCTTTCTCAGATGTTTGCTGCAAGTCAATGCTTTCTGGCTTCAGATTCTGATAAAGATAATTATTTATCAAAAAACCTACTACTACCAGATATCCTACATGGGACTTGGTATACTTGATCTTATAAAATCATCACATCCTTCCTATAGGACTGATATGTTTCTCACTTTATAGATGAGAAAACTAAAGATCAAGGATGCTAAGTAGCTGGTCCTGCTCACGCCACTAGGACACATCAGAGCAGGAGGTTTAACTCCATGAGCTGGTCTTTGTTTTATACAATGTTCCCCCTTGATAAGGGGAGAAATGCTGACAAAAAAACATTGAATAGTCAAGACATTTACCACCAGTCAAAGGCAGAGTGGGGGTAGTATGTGTTTTGCTACAGGTAAAGAATTGGTTTAATGAGAAACTAAAGGTAGAGGAAAAGATTGTTTCTCCAGATGGAAAAATGTTGAGTTTATTTAATAGTTTTCTAAGTGATTTGGATAGGAGAGTACATAGTGAGTTCTCCAAAATTAAAGATGGAAGTGAAATGTCAAGCTGACAGGGATAAACCGTAGTAAGATCTCATGAGGTTTCATGAGTGGGTAGAGAAATGGCAAATGAGCTCTAGCGTGAGCAAGTGTAAGGCAATAGAGTCAGGAAAAATAATATAAACTTTGCTTATGACGCCTCTTGGTTTCAATGCAGGAAAAGGAGTTTAAAATCAATATAAAATATTATAAATGTATATATTTCATATTTTTAAAAACTTATTTAGAGCCATTATTTTTTAACCTTCACAAGAAATCGGGAAAAAATATTACTAACCCTGTTTTATAGAGAAAATAAAGACCCAGCTTGCTTCAGGGACTTTCCAAGGTCATTCCAGTAATTAACAAAAGAACCCTAACTAGAAACCAGTAACACAGAATCACAGCCCATACCTTTCCTGCTTCTATAGGTTCTTCTATAGGGTTAAGATCATAAACTAGTAATTTCATGTAATTATCAGGAAACATTATCTTGTCTTTATCATATCAAGGCCAAGACCTCAGGCTTTGGAGTCAGACACATCTGGACTCAAATTCTACTTTGCCACTTGCCAGAATACTTGTTATATAACAGGTTATTTAAATTCTAGAGAGTATTTATTTCCTCTCATATAAAATGTTGCTATAGAGTAGAGCACCCTGCCTCACAGAAGTAGCGTAAGGATTAAATGAGGTAAGATATGAAAAGACAATGCCTTAATTTGTATTTGTTGTAAATGGGCAGGGGGGTACAGTAAACTCAGACTTTGAAGTACCCTCTGTGCTCTAAGCATACAGATAAAATAATGAAAAAAGGGCGTGGTGGTGCATTTCTGTCCTCTCAGCTACTCGAGAGGCTGAGGCAGGAGGATTACTGGAGCCCAGGAGTTGGAGACCAGCCTGGGCAACACAGCAAGACCCCATTTCTGAAATAAATAAATTAATTAAATAATAAAAGAAAAAAGCAAGTAACTACAGCTGGTTTGAAATCCCATATAAACCTTTCCCCAGACCATAAATGGAAAAGCAATGTAAAACAGTGGTTAGGCTGGAGATGTGGGCCTGCTGCTTCTGGAACTGGAAGCCAGCAGGGGCAAGGCTGGTCTGGCTCCGGCAGAGAAAGGGAGATTAAGGCCTTCACCTGCGGTGGTGCCAGCACCAGGGTCAGTGCCTGAAGCCTGGGGCTGGATGGCACTGACCCATCCCTTAAGAGAGGAAGCTGTGAGAAACTGCTGCCAGTAACCCACATCTTAAAGGAAGGTGTAGACCGAGGGAGAACACAGGCACGGTGGGGCAACAAGGAGGCTCACGCCTCACGGAATCTCCTGTTTACCAGGAGATGGAAATAGAGATGACCCTACTGAACAGGGGGTCTGGATAATAACAGAAGACCTGGCCCTGGGCTGTGGCTTAGACTGGTAGATGACGGCAACCCCTGAAACTTCTTGAAAGGGAGTTTGGAGCACAGAGGAAGGGAGAAGTCAAAACAAAACAACCAAACCAAATATCCTAAAATGACCTTGCAAATCTACTGATTTCAAAAGGATTTTTGGTTTGTAAAATTCACAAAGACATTTGATGCTAAGAAAGAAAGCAAAATAGAGGGCTCTGGGTGTGGTGGCTCATGCCTTGAACCCTAGTACTTCGGGAGGCCGGGGTGGGAGGATCACTTAAGTTTTTTTAATCTGTTACTTTATTTTCCTCGTCCTATCTTCTGTTGAATCGATAGGATTTTCTATATCTCCAACTTTTGTCTTCCATGGAGAGTTTGGAAACTAGAGATTACATTTATGTTATATTATTTTTAACACTTTTTATTTAGAGATAATTGTAGATTTGCATGCACTTGTAAGAAATATTACAGAGAGAGCCTGTAAACACTTCACCTGATTTTCCTCAAGGAGGGTAAAATCTTTCATAATTATGGTACAACATCACAACCAGGAAGCCAGCATTGATAAAACCCAGTGCCCTTATTCAGATTCCATCATTTTTATATACATTCATTTGTGTGTATGTGAGTTTAGTTCTATGTGATTTTATCACATATTCAGATTCATGTATTTTTAAATTACCTTTGAATTTATAACATATGCATCAAACCATAAATTTAGCATATTTACCATAAACCCAACCCAGAGTTGGGTTTTTTTGCTTTACTAAAATAATAAGCCCTAGTTAGTTATTTGTATTTTATAATCTATTGTTAGTTACATTTACTAGTATATTTTACTAATTACTATTAATATATTTATTGTTTTTTTTCCCTATCTTATGTATTTTCTTTTTTCTTAATAAGTTATAACCTTTAACAGTGAAGGAGTTTGAGACTAGCCTGAGCAAGAGCAAAACCCCATCTCTACAAAAAAAGAAAGAAAGAAAGAGAAAAGATAAAAAGAAAAAATTAGCTGGGGGTGGTGGTGCTTGCCTTTAGTCTCAGCTGCTTGAGATACTGAGGCAGGAGGATCACTTAAGCCCAGGAGTTTAAAGTTACAGTGAGCTATGATGAAATGATGAGGCCACTGCCCTCCCAGCCTGGGTGACAGAATGAGACCTTGTCTCAAAAGAAGATAAAAAGAAAGAAGGAAAGGAAGAAAAGAAAAGAGAAAAGATCATAGATAATTAACATGAATTAATTCCAGAAATTAAAATATTCTGTCAGTCTAAGAAACATGTTAACATAGGTACAAGGTCTGGGGAAAGTATCCAGCCATTGTTAATATACTATGTAATACAGGGCTGGATACTCTCAGACAGAGCTCTCATGTTTTGAATGCTCAGATAAATGCAAGCACAATATTTATAAAAAGAACAGAAAATTGAGAAACAAAAACAGGCAGAAACCAAACAAAATGATGTATCTATGACTACTATGTTGTTATTAAAATTTTAAAATTTAAACAATAGGCACAAATTAAGAATCAATAACCTAGAGAATGGTGCTCAATCGGTACCAGTTACACCAAGAATAAAGAGAGAGAGAGAGAGAGAGAGATTGAGAGAGAGAATGGTGCTCAAGAGTGACCCTGGAAGGCAGCAGAGAGCGAGCAGAGCACAGCGTGAAAGAGACGTTTAGCGACTTGGTGGAGAGACTGATAGGCTCCGACAATGTCAGTCTGAATTTCAGAGGAGACACCAGGGGGAATGGCAGAAAAACAGTATGAAAAGAGAAAATGGCTAAAACTTTCCAGACTTGAAGAAAGAAATGTGACCTCAAATTGAAAGTACCTACCAAGTGCTAATAAATGTAAACTAAAATAAATCTATGACTTGACATGTCAGAGCGAAAGTGTAGAGTATCAGAAATAAGATCTTGGAAACGACCAAGGAGGAAAGACAGATTATTGGCAAAGGCATGGCACTAAGGGAGATTTCTCATTAACAGTAGATGCCAGAAAACAGTGGACTTAAAGGGCCAAAAATTAGGAAATGATTTTCGACCTTGAATTTTATACCAATTTAAATTATCATTTAAGATTAAATGCAAAATAGAGACATTTTCATTTCATACATAAAATAAAAAGAATTTACCAACCACAGACCTTCACTGTTAAAGGTTATAACTTATCAAGAAAAAAGAAAATACATAAGATAGAGAAAAAACAATAAATATATTAATAGTAATTAGTAAAATATACTAGTAAATGTAACTAACAATAGATTATAAAATACAAATAACTAACTAGGGCTTATTATTTTAGTAAAGCAAAAAAACCCAAATCTGGTTAATTAAATATGCTAAATTTATAGTTTGGTATATAAGTTATAAATTCAAGGGTAATTAAAAAATACATGAATCTGCATATAAATCACACGGAACTAAACACACATACACACACAAATGAATGCATGTAAAACTAATAAAGTCACTGGGTTTTATCAATGCTGACTTCCTGGTTGTGATGTTGTACTATAATTATGAAAGATGTTACCACTGAGGAAAATCAGATTAAGTGTTTATGATGTCTATCTGTAATATTTCTTACAAATGCATGAAAATCTATAATTATCAATAAATAAAAAGTTTAGAAATAATATAATATAATGTAATCTCTAGTTTCCAAACTTTCAATGGAAGAAAAAGTTGGAGATATAGAAAATCCTATGATTCAACAGAAGGTAGGAATAGGAAAATAAAGTAGCAGATTAAAAAATTATTTAAAAAACACAATGTGAAATGTAAATATAAGTTCATATATAAACATAATTACAATTGATTACGTTTACCCATTACTTAAGACAGAGGCCATTAGAATGAATAAAATCAACAATATGCTGTGCTATAAAAAGACACACATAAGATAAAATGATACAGATACATAGAGAATCAAGGATGGAAAAAATATATACTAGGCAAATATTTACTGACCAAATTGTAAAAGATAGCTCGTGAAGCATTACTGTGCACTTTCCTTCACAAGGCTTACACATTACATTCAAAGATGGAATGTTCTGTAGCTTTGGTAGGAATTATAATTGTACATGACTCCTAGAAATGAGATAATCTTTTAGAGTAGGTGTTTCCATTCATTAATTTAAAAAGTCAGCCTTATCAGGATGGATAAGACTCCTTAGCACTCCCACACCCAGGCCTATTCTCCCTGTGGTACGTACAGGGATTGGGCTGGGGAGGAGGAAGTGGCAGGGCCTTGCTGATAGAGGGCAGGTATATGGTGTGTGCCTGCACACACACGTGCACAAGTGCACACATGTGTACCACTTGTAATACACATACCAGAAAGAGATTGCTTCCACACACAGACTAAAAATTGACTTGCAACACGCTCTCAATTGGTTCAAGCTTGTTCCCAATGCAATGGGGCACCAGATCTACACATGCGGGCGCATCTTAGTCAGGCCCTGGGGAAACAAGGCATGGCAAAGAGTTCTAATGCTGTATCAAATGCAAAGGGATTTGGGCCAAGCAGAAAAGAAAATTTCAAGTTATTGACCTAAGTTCAGATGCCGCCACATTCCTTATTCTGTGCTTATCTGAATAAAATCTCATGCCTCACAGGAGCTAGTTGAATCACCTCTCAAGGGCTTAACAGTCTGTAATTCTGGTGTTCTGGCTCTCCTGGTACAATTACATTAGCCTGGCAGGCTATGGAAATTCAAGAAGTCTTTGCAAATATTATACTGAAAGTGGATATATGTATTTTTTTAGCTGTTGACTTGCCTTATATTTTGTATTTTTCTTTCTATAACACTGGAAAATAATTCTTGGTGTTGACATCACTTTTATGAATCTTGGCTTCATGTTTCTGAAATAAACACACACACACACAAACCCATCCTCTTCTGCGGTTTTCGTGCTTACCCTTTGGGTGACTACAAAGGGACAACTTTAGCATCCGTGGCGTGCTGGAGCTGACTGACTCCGGCTCGGAAGAGCTGGTTTGGGGCATCTTTTTCCAATTCCACATTCAGTGATGCTATATTGGGGGCTTGAAATCAGCCATAATCAAAGTATTTACACCATAGAAATTGGCGAATGCTATAGACCAGGACTTGTCCCCCCGAAAAGCCAGTTGCTAAAGATTTGCCAGCATGCCACTGTTCACAGTCCTCATAGTACACAGTTAATTTCCCCTAAGACAACTTTCCAAATCCTGAAGCAGAGTCACCTCAGGTACTGTTCAGCTTGCTGTGCACAATTTGGCTGGAAAGTAATGACACTAGCTGTACTCAGTGGCTTATAGGCATTTGTGTGTCTCTTGGCATAAGACTAAGTTCTAAGCTTTTTCCTCCAAGGTTATTATGAGCACAGTTATGCCTTGCCATTAGAGTATCTTTTTGAAAAAAATCCCAACAAAACTATATCCTTTGGCTGAAGTTCTTGATTCTCTTATATTGTATGAATAAAATATTGGCTCCTGCTATTAATATAACAAATTATAATCATTCCTGTCAAACATGCTTTTCCTGTCAATCAAGAAATAAAATATTTAATGGATATTTATCACATGTAAGACATGGTGATAGGAAATATGCTAGATACAGAGAATGATTGTCTAACCTCAAATTATTGTCTTCTAGAAGTGTGTAATTTAGAGAGTTATATACAGAAAACCTTTCTTTAACAGTGTGTAATTTGCATGTATCCAGCTGTCTTGTGTTTACCTCTTAAGGTCAGTCTCAACATGTGTGGAACACACACACAGAACGTATTGAAGATTCTTATTAAAGATTTCCGAAGGGTGGACACCAGGAGACAAAGGTGAGAATGCATCTTACATTATATGGCAAACTTTCTAAAAATCCTCTTTGAATATTTTTCTCTTTCCCCAAATTATTCCTCCTATGCCATCCATCTGTCTCTCCTCCTCCTTCTCCTTCTCTGCCTTTCTTTTCCTTCTCTCTCATCCCATGTGTTGGTTCTATACTCCCATTTCTTCAGATGTTCTTGAAGGTTTGGCCAAACAAGGATCTTTTGAGGGACCCACCCTCATTAGAAGGTAAAGGAGGCAAATGTGGCAAATTCATATGTTTTCTTGTGCTTCTGTCACAAATAGAAGTATAATTAGAAATATTCTAAATTAAAGAGTTGTGAGTTGCAAAATCAGAGAGAGGTGTGACGTGAAAAGATTTTTTTTTTTTAAGGTGGGAAGCTTTAAAAAGGAAGAAGTGGTAGGTAAGTAGAAGGTCTCAAAATAAAGAGAAGGGAAGTGGTGCAACCAGCTAAGTGCTTCTCTCATCTGTGGGTTCCCCAGAAAGTCACTAAGGTGCTCACGGCACCTAGTGAAGAGAGTGGAGTCAATGTTCCAGGTGTATGCAGATAACCTTCTCTTACTTTTGATCTTTTTATGTCCTTTAATGTCCTCAAAATGACCCTTAGTCCATGGGCCCTTTTTTTCTCTCTCCAAAGAGGAGGAAGAATGTACGTTTCAGGTAGACTGAGTGAAGTGTAGATTTTTAGGACACCCCCATGGTTCTGCTGCAAATTAGCATAAAAGTAATTCATCCCCAAGATACTGGGATCTTAACCAGGGCTCTGACTGCTACTGTATTTAATGAGAACGTTTTTCCAAATAATTTTGACATGACAATGTATTCCAAAAAGAGATACATCTGGGTTTCCCTTGCTACACACAGTTTTACACATGGAAACCAATGACCAACTGGAGAATGGTACTATCATGCTGTTGGGGTCACAAAATGTTGACCACCAAACTCGCGAGCAGTTTTCCATATTTTTTGTGCCAATCAACTAAAGAGGTTTTTAGGACAGCTTTTGCCTCTTCTTGTCAATGCAGTCTCAACTGACTTTGCTGCAAAGAGACATTTTGGTCATAAAATCTGTTGTCAGCAACTTTGCAGAGTTCCTGGCTTGAGACTTTTCAGCCTCCTCCTCCAGCCTGGTTGATAAGTTCAGAACTCTCACTCCATCATTATGAATCACAACCAAAACCCAGAGTCACCTCAGGGATTTGCACACTTCCCCACATCCTATTGATGACAGAGTTGTCAGTTTGGGGCATGAGGAGCCCAAAGTATTATGGAATCGCTGCATGGAGTCGTTAAACTAATAGCAACCTGATTCCCTTCATTTTCAGGCCTGAACATCCATATTAATCTAAATACCTCCCTTCCTAATCAACTAACAAGTACTCCCACCCTTCTGACAGCATCAAAGGCACTTGAGTCATTCAGTGGAACCTCATCAGGGCCTCAGGGATATTTGGCTCATCTCCATTCTGGACAATTCTTTCCATCAGCAGCACTAGCAGCAACTTCAGAGCACATGACCTTGACTGAGTTATTTAACACCTTCCTGAACCTCAGTATTTTCATCTTCAGCTTGAGCTAATTATATATTCCCTGGCTTCCCAGGCTGCTGGGAACATCCAGCCGAGCGCATATGTAAGAAATTGCTTGGAAACTCGAAAGCTCTGTACAATATCTTAACCACTTACACCCTCATGGCTGATGAGAAAAGCAAAATTGCAGTTGAGTTTCGAGTTTCATCCACTGGTCCCAAGAGTGGGCACTGAAGTTTAATTCTCACCTCTAGACTCTAGTATTTCTAGGATATTCAACATACAAAGGTGTTAGGATATTAGATAAAGGTGTTAGATAAATCTGGGTTTATCTTCTTTCTTGAGAAGTTTATTCATTTTTTCCACGTTTCTAATATCTTGCTCCCAAATCCAAGTAACATTGTAGACATGGCATATTATTGTGATTTTTTTGACATATAAATTATGGGGGGGAAAAGGATAAATCATTTCTCATAGTCACTAGTATGTTTCCAAGAAATAATCCGTAGTCCCTATTAAGCCAGGATCAACACAATAGACACATGATCTAATGTACGAGGGATTACCCGAAAAAAGAAGCACGCCATGAAAACAAACAAATTTTAAAATAACTCAGGTGGCCTGCAGCAACTCTTCCTATGCTTCTCTTTTTCTCAGCCTTCAGTAAGTTCTTCCCAGATCTGACCTGGGTGCCTCCTCCCTTTCCACTTCCTTTCTCCTGATTCTGTGTCTCGCCAACCTAAGGATCAGCAAAGCAGAACTCCTCTGCACAAGATAGGGTGGGTGAGCCTGACTGGACACAGTGAGGGGAGAGAGGGATGCCGGGGACACTCACAGGTTCAGAGGTCTTGACCCATCAGAGCTGCCAAGATGCAGCAAGAATTCCCACTTGAGTTGCTTTAGGATTTAGCCATGTCTGGATGTGAGTGGAATCTGGGAGCAGGGCAGGACGGCTAGGGGTCTATTTGTGCGAGGAACCAAGGGAAACTGAAAAAGAAGGCAGATAGAGGAAAGGGGTAGTTGGGCAGGACACATTTGATCGAGGTCCCTAGGCAGGTTTTAGAGGGACAGAGGTACTCTGAGTAGGGCGAGATATTAATATCTGCTTTGCATTGTCTCTCAGCCCAGTCCCACAGACCCACATTTCTCAAAGGAGAACATAGTAGAGACCATGTTAAACCAGCACATAATATGTAGCAGATACAACCAGACACATGATCTGGTTTAAGCTTTACTGTTTCTTGCTACGTGTGGCCTTAGTTCCCCATTTGCGAAGTAAGGGATTGATTGGGCCATGCAGAATGTGCCTTTCAGCTCTGAGGGGCTACCTTCCTCGAGTCAGTAGCACAGCTAGCTGCTTATTAGTTCAGGGCAGAAGGTTGTCTGCACATTGGGTAACTAGCCGTGAAGCGCTGATAAGAAAGGTGCATTTCATTCAGGAGCAGTTGAAGAACGTGGGGAACACTGGCTTGTGCATCGGATGGGGCTGACCGCAAAGGTGGAGAAGTGTTCTGGGATGTAGACCTGGGACAGATTACTTCCCAACCTTCATTTCCTGCACCTGAGAAAAATAACAGTGTCTACCTGTAGCTGGCTGAATAATGCCCTTGACCGCCAACGTCCACGTCCTAATGTCCAGACCTGTGAATGTTATCCCATACGTCAAAACTACAAGAGATGGGATTAAGTTAAGGATCTTGACATGGGGAGATTATCCTGAGTTACCTGGGTGGGCCTTAAATGTAACCACAGATGCTATTATGAGAGGGAGGAAGAGGGCATTTTACCACAGACGTAAAGAATGCATCAGTAAAGCAGGAATTGGATTGATGCAGCAAAAAGCCAAGGGATGCCGGCAGCTGCCAGAAGCTGAAAAAGGCAAGAAACTGATTCTCTCCCAGAGTCCCTAAGGGAGCACATCCCTGCCAGCTCCTGACTGCAGCCCAGTGAAACTGGCTTCAGACTTCTGACCTCCAGAACTATAAGAAAGTGTGTTTTGTTTTAAGCCACCAAATGTGGCTTAAAACACAATTGTGACAATTTGGTGGAACGGCCAGAGGGAATTAACCCATATCTATTAGTAACTGTTACTCCAATTAAAACATGTGACAGGAAATGCAGTAGTGTGCCTAACACGCAGTAGGTGCCATTCTTTGACGCGGAAGCTTTGGTTTTAAGGAACTATCTAAACCAATGCAATGACTGTCATTTTTCTCTGTATTTACCCTGAGGATAAATGACCAGACACCTGGCAGAAACAGTCCTATCCTTCCCACAGACCTTCTCTTCTGTTACTTAAAGGAAAAATGTTACTTCTAATCGCTGCAGTCATGTTATTCTTTTCCTTTCCCCCTATGTTTTTCATTATAATCCCTACACACCAGCCTAGGGTATTCCAGTGGCAAATTAGAAATTGGCCTATTAACACTTTGTGTTTTGAACCCTTATTGGAAAACCTACCTGGAAAAGGAAAGGATCTAGTCAAGTAAACAATATTGAGTTTAAACAATAAAATACTTTCTTCTGGGCAAACAGTGCAAGGAGAAAAGTAGAGGAAGGCTATTCAAATTTTAGGAAAAGCAAAGAAGTCTGCATGAGAGAATAATAGTTGAAGTAAAAAACATACTAAAATATGGCAAGGTTTTTTTTTTTTCAGACATCCTGAAGAATTTATTTATTTATGTTTTTATTTCAGCATATTATGGGGGTACAGATTTTAAGGTTTCAATAAATGCCCAGTTTCCCCCTCCCCCCCCAAGTCTGAGTCTCCAGCATGACCATCCCCCAGATGGTGCACATCTCACTCATTATGTATGTATATACCCGCCCCCCTCCCCCCCTCACCTGCCCAATACCCTATTACTGTAGTACCTATGTGACCACTTAGGTGCTGTTCAGTTAATACATCAGTTTAAACAATTGATGTAGAAGAGAGAAGTTGAGTGCTATACCTACAGAAAAGAAAATGTAATCCTATCACACTCTTTTCCTCAGGACTGAGCAATACTTACATAGTCCATACAATTTATTGGTTTTCAATTCTTAGAGTCAACTTATGGATAAAACATAGGGCATGTTGCTGCAATTGCATTTCGAGATGCAAATGTTCACAGCACAAACAAAAGCAAGTGGTGTTGACAGAGGTCCATTGTGTGGGCGTGGGAAAGGAAGGACGGATGAACTGTGGGGGAAAGGCAGTTTTGTGTATAGAGATTGTGAGGTGAAAATGAAAGTTGATAAAACAAGAAATAAATAGGGATAGCTAATGTTTCCTGAGAGCTGCTGTGTGTTGACAAGGATTCAGGGAGGAGGAGCTGTGACCCTCTGGAACTATAATGAACAACTTAGAGTAAATGAGTCAGGCAACAGGGTGCCTGGAGGAATCCAGTATTCTCTGGGTGATTTTCTTTGTTTTACAGGGCTAATCTCATAAATGTGCACTAGGCACAATACTGTGCAACTTTAGTCCCAGTTATATTTTACATGCATTTACTTCATAAAAGCAAGCACTTTTATGGTCCCTTTAAATGGGGTTCTTCTCTTTGGATGGCATGGTAAAGGCAATCAGAGCACCATCGCCCAGGGACCTCACTCATTGAGCACGTGCGCGCGCACACACACACACGCACACACACAAAATCTAATATCTAGCTATCTTAGCTCAGCTAGTTATAACAAAATGCCATAGATCGGTGGCTTAAACAATAGACTTATTTCCTACATTTATGGAGGCTGAAAAGTCCAAGATCAAGGCTGATTCTATTCCTTGTCAGGACCCTGTTCTTGGCTTAAAGATGGTAAACTTTCCTAACTCCACTCTAGCACCATTTGATTCTTCCTTCTCACTTAATCACAGGTGTGTTTCTAAAATCACATGAAACCTTGTCATCTTTTTGATTAAAACAATATCATGGCTTCTCATACTTTCAGCAAAATGGACAACTGCCTCATCGTGGTATTTAAGTGAAGGCAGAACATGGACATACAGGTGCATCTCCCAACATTGCTTTCACTCTTCATGCACATCAGACCACCTTTCTCGTGTCATCTGGCTGGTCATCCCCCTGCCCAGGCCTTTTGCCAGCTGTTGATTTGACCAGGAAATAGTCCTTCTGCACGTGACTGTCCCCTCTCCTCCTTGAAGGTGCGGTTCATGTTTCATTCCCCCTGGAAGTATTTTCTGTTCTTCTTACCTGCAGCTGATATCTCAGTGCTCACCCGTTCCGCTGAAGGTTTGGTCCAGTGATCTGTTTTTCTGGGGCAAGAGATAGATGTCAAGGCTCGATCTCCCAGCCTAGCCCTGAGTCCAGAGCAGCGTCACCACTGAATCGACAAGTGCGCCAAGAAATGGGCTGGAAGCTGAGGGAAATGCTGTACTTTTCTCTTTCCCATCTGCAGATGGTTTTCCTGGGTTGGGAAACGACTTAGGAAACACAGAGCCTTTAGCCACTAAGTCTGGGGGAGACCCGTAGAACCCAGGGCAGCCAGCACTGGGTGTAACTGTAGCTGCTGTGACTGGATATCCTAGTGGTCTACACCGGCTAGAGCCAGACCAGTTCGCAAAGACAATCTTTTCTGACATTTTTAGGCAGCATGATAAATCCTCACTAAACAGACCCTTTCAGTAATTATGGAGCAGACATGGGCTCTTCCTTGCTTCTCCCTCTGCATGCGACAAGGAGGACGCCAGGCCCAGCCCCTCAGGCCGCCGTGGGCACGTGGGCGCAGGACCGGCCTAAGTCTCCACTGCAGACCAAGGGGCGCCACCGACAGACACACGTGCATGGAAACGAAACCCAGAGCGTTTCCGGGCGCAGGGCCTGCGGGCTCCGGCTCCAGCGCGTCGGGCGGGTGGGAGAGAGGCAGGGCGGGAGGGGCGAGGGCGGGTGGCCTGGCCTCCCCCTGGCCTGGACCCGCGTCCTCCTGGGCGGTCCCCCACGCTCAGACTCCACACACTCGCCAGGACTCGGCCTGTGGGGTCGGGAAGGGGAGCTGCTTCCACACCCCGTCCCCCGGGCTCGTTTGGGGAAAGTTCGTGTCAAGTCGGGCTGGACACGTGCCCCTCGCGCGAGCCGATGCTCCCTGCGGCGGACCGGGCGGGGCCCGAGCAGGGCGGGTCGCGGAGCCAGGGCCGCGGGGAGGCCGGGGCTGCTGCGCGCGCGGCGGGGCTGCGCAGACACGGGGCGCCAAGGCTCCCTCCACCCCGGGGCTGCAGGTCGCACGGGCACAGCCAGGCCCAGTGGCGTCGGCCGGTCGGGAGCAGGGGCACCAGGGGCCCGGCCGCTGGGCTGGAGGAGAGCCTGCGCCTGGCTTCCTCTTGAGCTGCTCGGCTCCCAGCACGGGGTGGCCCCGGCGCTGCTGTGAAGGGGCCCAGCTGTGGTCCGCAGGCCGCCTCTTGCATGCAGGTGAGATGTCACGGTCGCCTGACGGGCCGAGGCCGCCCTGCCGCTGGGGATCCGCACTGAGGCCCTGCTGCCCCGGAGCCGCGTTCCCGCAAGCCCTGAGGAAAGGGGTGGAGTTCTTCCCGGAGGCCGAGGCCGGAGGAGACCGAGACCGGAAGATGACAGCCTTGGAAGGAGGGGTGGTGTCCGTGGCATCGGGGTCAAAGGCCGGCGTGGACGGTGGTACTGCAGGGGCCCTGCCCACCAGAGTGGGGGCGACTGGAGGCGCCGTGGTGGGAAGGCTCGAAAGACAGGGGCCCTGGGAAGGGGCTCTCTGCTGCTGCCGCCCGCAGGGCTCCGCAGTGTGGGCCGCCAGGTGCGGCGGGCACCAGAGGTGGAGGTGGGTTGATGGGGACTCTGGGCCCTGCAGGGGTGTGGGGAAAGTGAGGAGAGATCACATTAGAGACTGGGGGACAGGTGAAAAGAAGCTGCAGAAGGGAGAGTGGTGTCCATCTCAATGATCTCGGGGCCTACCTGAGGCTGCCAGGTGACACGGGCAGATGGGCTGCCTGGGATTGCTGACATGGCTGCCGCAGGAGAGGGGAATGTGCCCGTGAGCAAAGCACGGTTCCTGGCGGAAGGGACTGGAGGACCAGGTGGGAAGGAAAGAGTGGGTGGGTAGGGAATGGAGGCAGAGGTGTGGGGAGGGCAATGGCAAGAGGGGAAGGTAAGGAAAGGGAAGATTGTGATGGAAGGAAGGAGGAGGAGAGTGGGTGAAAAGGGGAGGAGGGATGGAGAAGGAAGGAGGAGGAGGGGAGTGGATAAGAAGGGGAGGACTGAATGTGAATGAAAGAGGAGGAGGGGAGGGGATGGAAGGAGGAAGAAGAGGGTTGGGGAAGGAAGGAGAAGAAGGGCTGGAAGGAGTAGGGATGTGGAAGGAAGGAAGAGAAGAGATGGGAAGGGATGGAGGGGAGGCTTGCAGTAGGAAAGAGGAGGAAAGTTGGGGAGGGATGGAGGAGAAGGGTTGGGCAAGGAAGGGGGAGGAGGCATGTGGAGAAAAGGAGGAGGAGGGTTGGGGAGGGATGAATGAGGATTATTGAGGAAAGAAAGGGGAGGAGGGGAATCCAAACACATGGGTGTTGGGGACTGGGTTCTGCACCAGGGCAGCATCAAGGAGAAGGGTAGGGGGCTGGGAGGTGCGGGCAGGTGAGAGATGGGAGGCTAGGTGGGGAGCCTGAGAGAGCAGGCCTCTGTTCCCCTCAGGTGGAGTTCCCGCGCCATGGAAACTGGCCTTAAAGGAGGAAGAAGGTCAGCAGGGACAGGCAGAGGGCAGCTGGGGGTTGTGAGTGTCATGGAGGAGGGTGGAGGGACAGGTGGGATCAGAGGTCCAGCACCCATGTCAGGGAAGGAGTCAGCAGTGGGGAGAGGAACCGGGATGTGGAAAGGGTGAGGAGCGGCAAGGGGCAGGGAGTCTGCCATCTGAGTGGCAGGTGGGGTGAGAGCAGGGGCAGGCCGGGTGGCCCCGCAGCTTCCCAGGGCCTCTGTCTTAGGCTCCATGGCCTCTGCATGGTCCTGCACAATGTTGGTGTTTCTTTGACCCCCAGTGCACTACTCCAAGGTGTCTTGACCTTCCTCCACAGCTATGCCAGGAAGCTCTGCAGGTGGGGGCAGCTCGCCTCTGTCCCACAACCATGGCAGCAGCACAGGTGGTGGCAGTGGCAGCAGCAGTGGCATGGGCATTGTTCTCTTGAGGGTCCTGGTGGCTCCCCATTCTGCCCTCCCTTGTCATATGATACAGGTGTAGCTCCCAGTTTTGTTTTCACTCTTTATGCAAATCAGACTGCCTTTTGGTGCCCCGTTGGTTGGTCTTCTCTCTTCCCAGGCCTTTTGCAAGCTATTGATTTCACCAGGAAATAGTCCTCCTCCACTTGCGACTGTCCCCTGCTCCTCTTTGAAGGTGCTGTTCATGTTTCATTTCCCCTAGAAGTAATGTTCTTCTTACCTCCTCCCTGTAAATCATTGCTTACCCATCCATTAGAATTTTTGTTCTAGTTATCTGTCTTTTTCACTACATTGTAAATTTGTTTGCTATCAAAGATGTCTTTCAACTCCATATCTCTACAGGCTACCACAGAGTCTAATGGAACATATATGTAATAAAATTAGTTAGACACTGAAAAAAATGTTTACAGTTTTCTTTTTCCCCATCTTCACATATTGATAGTTTCTCTGGATTATAAAATGCTTTAGGAGACACTGTATTTTTATCAATTAAGTCTAGTGAAGACCCAGTATATCTCTAGGTCAGCCAGAAATGGTTATATTTGGAGCTCTTGTCATGTAATTTCTTATTGGTTTAGACTAGAGCTAGACTACTTATTAAGGATAATCATTTTAAGCAGTATAATAAATCCTAAATATACTTAAATTTTCAATAACTGCAGAGCCTACAGGAGCTCCTCTTTTCTTTGTTTTTCTAGATGCAGGAGGATGAATACCAATTGTAGCCTCTCTCACTGACTTAGTAATATGTTAGCATGACTGGCCTAAGTCTAGGTTATAGAAAAAGGCACACAACAAAGAGACATTTAAATATTTTTAAACACTAAAATCAGAAAGTCTGTTTCCTGGGAGGAGGGGCCAAGATGGAGGACTTTCTGGCAGACTGCATATGTTGCTTTCACGGGGAAGATTGAACGTGGTCAGTGGATATTCCCTTTCAGGTTGATGGTCTAAATGAGAACATTGGGAATCAATATAAAAGTCACAGAAGGCTCCCAAAGTGAAGGATAGGGAACATAAGCAACCCACTCTGTGGAATCTGGGGTACACAGGGAAGGTATCTGCACTTGGAGAAGGGACAGTGGAGAGAACACTAAGCTTAACCCTTCTCCTGTGGACATTGCAATCTGAGTTGTGTGAGGGACCCTCCATTGTAGCAGGTTGCTGGACTGACATAGTTTACTGGAGACTGTGCAGTGGTATAGCTTTGGTGAGAAGTGCAGGGACCCACTTAGCAGGATTCTTGGATGCCATGGCTGGTACCATTTTGAGATTACAGACTCATAGCACTATATCTTTCAGGGGTCAGATCATCCATTGCTACTGCCTTCCTACTTCCCCTGCCAGGTTAGGGAGCGAGCCAGGAGGCTGGGTGATCTTGCATGTCCCATGAGCAGGTGCCGTCTGCCCCCACCACTGATGGGGGATCTGGGTAGGGTGAACAATTTGGCCACCTTGTGCTGATCCTTGCTGCCACTGACGATCTTGGGTTGGGTAGTGCTTAAGCCACTATGGGCCGACAAACACCACTACCCACAGACCTGAGTGAGGCAGCGCTCAGGTAGACATGAGCAGACAATTGCCACCACTCACCATCTTGGGAAGGGCAGCACTCAAGCAGCCCCAGGCCAACAAACTCTACTGCCCATGGAGCTGGGCAGGGGAGCACTCAAGCCACTGCAGACAACAATTGGCACTGCTGATGGTTTGAACTAGGCAGGGTGATCACTCACTTTACAGCATGTTAACTCCCTGTGACAACTACATAGAAATGGTGAGACATGATATGTATAGCAGCAGTGCTAAAGACTCAGAGTGCATCCAGCCCTCTCCTGCCTGGTCAGTCATCCAGAGTAGGACTCAAGTGCAGCGTCCAGGGACCTCTCTATCTCTTTACTGAGTAAGACAATTTCCACCAGAGGAGAACAAGTATACCACAAACCTATCCGTCTTGAGCTGAGAGAAAAGGTTTCAGATGAGAAGGAACCAGGACAAGAAACCTAGCAACATGAGAAAAACAAGCTTTCACACCCTCCAAAGGATCTTAGTAGTTCTCTAGCAATGGACGCCAATCAAAAGGAAATTGTCAAAATGTCAGATGTGGAATTCAGGATATGGATGATAAATAAGATCAATTGGATTAATGGGAAAGTTGAAAACAAACACACACACACACACACACACACACACACACACACACAAAGAAATTCAGGACACAAATGAAAATTTCACTAAAGAGATAGATAACATAAGAAGAGATATAACTTACTGAAATGAAAGACTAATTTATGGAATTCAAAATACAATAGAAAGTATTAACAATAGGCTAGACCAAGCAGAAGAAATAACTTCTAGAGTTTGAAGACAAGGCTTTCAAATTAACCCAGTCAATCAAAATGTAGAGAAAAGAATAAAGAAGAATGAGCAATCACGCTGAGAAGTATGGGGTTAGGTAAAGAGAATAAATATAAAAATCATAGGTATCCCTGAGGGAGAATAAGAAAAAGTAAAAAGCATATAAAACCTATTTGAGGGCATAATTGAGGAAAATGTATCTGATATTGCTAGAGATTTAGATATCCAAATACCAACGTATATAGTCATCAGTCTGGTCAAATCAAAGTGAAGGAGAAAATCCTACACACTTCAAGACAAAAGAAATGTGTAACTGC